ATTTGCTAAAACTTTCATCTTAAATCTTAGTCAACTGCAAGAGTAAGATTAGCAAGAAGATCTCTTGCAACTGAAAATTCTGTAAAATGTACGGCTGGTATTCATTTGCGCACTTAAAATCTTTGTGCACAAGAGTGTTCGTGTCTGTGTGCATATGTATATGTAGACACCTTTCTCTATTTCGCATTTCCACATCCGTAGCCTTGGCTCCCCACCCCACCCCTGATTCTCCCAGTGGGGAAGTAAACAACTGGATTTATTAATGAGCCAAGATGCACTGAAAAAATGGGTAGAGCCGGGCACTGGTGGCTCACACCTGTAATTGTAGCTACTCAGAAGGCTGAGATCTGAGAATCACGGTTCAAAGCCAGCCTGGGCAGGAAAGTCTGAGAACTCATCTCCAATTAACCACCAGAAAAATAGAAGTGGCACTGTAGCTCAAGTGGTAGAACACTAGCTTTGGGCTGGAGAGCTCAAGGACAGCTATCAGGCCCAGAGTTCAAGCCCCATAACCAACCAACCAACCAAAAATAAATAAATAAAGATTGGTTGACCAGCAGTAGTTGCACTTGCAAGAGGTTTCCCATATCCTGTCTTCATGAATGCCATGCCTATGTCTGGAGACTGGAGATGAAGGCTGTTGTGTACTGCCTGATCCCCATGGAAAAAAAGGAACTATAAATATAACCAGTAAGGAGCTCATCATAGTCTTATCTCTAGTAGATCAGAAGTTTGGGTGACTGTCCATTTTTCTTTCTCATCTGCTGCTTCCTTTAGCTGCAGCTGGTGGGTATAGGAGGGAACGCCAGCTACCCTCACAGCCATTGGTGTGCTCAGGATTGTAGGATAAGATCCCTTCCAGGTTGGTTCTGAAGTCTGAGCAGGAACTCTTTTCACCCACCCCAAGTCCTCTGGTTGGACTCTGTGGACTGGCTCGAGCGCAGGCTGGGAGTCTGCTCCTCTGACTGCCTGGAGAATAGCCTTGAGAGTGGCCTGGAGGGCCTGCGATGACTTGAGAGAGTGATTAGTCGTCTCTGCTCTGGGGACATCTCTTCATCTCGGGGGATAGGTGATGGCCTTCCAAACATGATTGCATAGACAGTAACCCCCTCCTGGTATAGGTACATCTAGGCCTGAGGGGGGCAAAGGGAAGGAGGCGGGTCCAAATTTTGCCTGTCTCTCAGACCAGTAGAGTGAAGGCTCCCATTAGGATCATACTCATCCTCTCTACTTGCTCTGAACTCTGTGGCTTACAGGCACAATGCAATTTCCAATTAGTATTTAATGCCTTTGCCATAATTTGGGATATTTTGGCTGTCAAAGCCAGGCCATTATCAGACCCTAAAATAAGAGGTAGGCCAAACCAAGGGACTATTTTTTTTTACTTTTTAGTTTATTTGTGTATTTAAATATTTTTATTGTCAAGGTGATGTACAGAGGGGTTACAGTTACATAATTAAGATAATAAGTACATTTCTCATCAAACTGGTTACCCCTTCCCTCATTTTTCTCCTATTTGCCCTCCCCCACAACCCGCCCACCCCCTAGCTGTATGGATCATTTCCATCACATTGTCTGTGGATGTCGCTGCTGCATTGGATCCCCCCTTGTCCTTTGTCTCACCATTTTGCTGTTCCCTTCTCTTCCCTAATTCAAATAAATGTATATACAATACCAGGATACCAAACTCAAATACAGTGACAACAGGGAATATATCAGAGGGGGAAGAACATACAAAAGAAACAAATAAATCACATAGTACATTAAAAACAACAACAAAGGAAAACCTACGAACTAAACTTGGAAGTAGCTTCTTGGTGACTATTGAGATTGTTTTAATCTGGGTGGGAAAAGCTTCTGCCCAGCCAGAAAAAGAGTCCACGAATACCAGGAGGTATCAGTATCCAAAACCAGTAGGTTTGATTTCAGTAAAGTCCAGTTCCCAATGCTTTCCAGGTGAGGTGCCTCGGGACCGTATTCCTTCCGGGGCCCTTCTTCCCCCTTTAGGAATCACATGAGCACAGGTAAGGCAGCTAGTGTGACACCCTTAACGATATAATCCAGTCTAGGGATGTAGTACCTTGGCCTAAGGAGCTCAGCAAGTTTGGAGGCTCCTTGATGCCTGGTCTAGTGGAGTTGAGTCACCAACTGTTTTCCCAGCACTGCTGAGAGAACGGGTCTCTGTCTGGCAACCAGCCAACCTTTTCCTTCTAGCTTGAAGCCCAGGTGCTCTGCCCATTCTTTTCCCTCTGATGTGTAGGAGGGTCGAGGAGCAGATCTGGCTCTGGCAGCATTACCAGACCCTGGAGAGGCCCCACTGATTCTAAGGAACCTCCCTGGCTGCCAGATCTGCCACCCTGTTTCCCTGAACTTCAGGAGATTCTCTCTTCTGGTGTCCCTTACAATGCACAATGGCAAATTTCTAGTTCATCCAAATGGCTTTCCGTAAAGCCAAGATCTCTTCTTTGTTTCTGATCTCCTTCCAAGCTGAGGTGAGGAGCCCCCTCTGCTGATATGGAGCTCTGGGTACGTGAGTGGTAGCAAATGCATGCCAAATGTCTGTGTATACTGCATGGCCTTCTCTCTTCCCCATCTCAATGCCTATGGCAAAGGCGATACGTTCAACCCTTTGAGCTGATATCCCTCGCTTGAGGGACTGAGCCCAGATTGCTTCATCTTTTCTGATGACTGCTATTCCCATATACCTGATACCCTCTTGAGTGAAACTGCTCCCATTCACGGACAATGCCTCCTCTGCCTCCAGCAGTGGAGCATCAGTCAGGTCTGGACTGGCAGACTGGATCAGGTCAGTTCCTCTGCACAGTCATGCAGAGGTTGTCGTGGGTCATCATCGGGCCACAGGCTTACCACATTGAAAGCCGAGGTTCTGCAGAACTTGATACAGGGGGTTGATCTAAGAGAAGCGCGTAGTAGCGTGTCACTGGGCATTTGATATCCATCTTTCTGAAGTCTCTGCAGGAGGGTCTCAACTGAGTGAGGAGTAGTTAGCTACAGTGCCTGTCCCAGAGTTAGCTTGTCAGCTTCCTTTTTGAGTATGGCAGTGGCTGCCACGGCTCCAATACAGGCTGGACAGCCGGCAGACACTGGACCCAGCCTTTTACAGGGACAGGGCACAGGCTGCTTTCAGGGTCCCAGGGTTTGGGTTAAGATGCCCTTTGCTATCCCTTTAGCCTCCTCCACGAATAGGTGAAAGGGTTTTGTGATGTCCAGGAGGGCCCAGGCTACTGCAGACAAAAAGGCTTTCTTTAAAGTCTCAAAAGCTTTCTGGCCAGGCATCAGTGGCTCACGCCTGTCATTCTAGCTACTCAGGAGGCTGAGATCTGAGGATCATAGTTCAAAGTCAGCCCCAGCAGGAAAATCTATGAGACTTTTCTCTCCAATGAACCACAAGAAAACTGGAAGTGTGCTGTGATTCAAGTGGTAGAGCGCTGGCCTTGAGTTGAAGAGCTCAGGGACAGCGCCCAGGCCCAGAGTTCAAGCCCCATGACTGAAAATAAAAAAGTGTTCACTGCAGGGGTTAGCTTCCCCTGAGATCAGCATAGAAGGATTTAGCAATCTCTGCAAACCCTACAATCCACAAGTAGCAGTAGCTGAGCACCCCCAGGAACTCTTGTACCTGCTTCTTGTTCTCTGGAGAAGGAATCTTCAAAATCGCTGAGATGCAACTCTGAGAGTGGGTGTTTCCCTTCTTCAGGGTTCTACCCCAAGTAGGTGACATGAGGCATTGGTGAGACTCCATACTCCAGGGCCTGTGGGGTCTCCAATCGTCCTTCAGTTGCTGCTCTACACTCCTCAGTCTCAGAAAGAACTAAGAGGTCATCTATATATTAGAAAAGGGTGCTCTTTGGGTATTTTTGGTGAAACTCCAATAAATCAGCACTCACGGCTTCATCAAACATGATTGGGGAGTGCTTAAATCCCTGAGGCAACCTAGACCAAGTGAGTTAGCCTGTGTATCGCCCTTTGGGGTCAGTTCATTCAAAAGCAAAGATGGCTTAGCATATAGGTGCCAAGGCAGGGAGAAGGCATCTTTCAGATCCAGGACAGTATGGACCTACCTCTCTGGTGGAAGGACACTTGGGAGAGGATCGGGGTTCAGAGGATGTATTGGATGTATAATCTCACTGTCTATTAACTTCCCTGAGGTCCTGCACCAGCCAGTAGTCTTGGGTTTCAAGACTGGGAGTCATGGGGTCTTCCAAGGTGAATGACATGGGGCAAGTGGACTGCGATTCCCTGCTTCACCTCTAGACTCATGGGGTGCCGCCTCACTCTGATGGGGCTTGCCAAGCTCAGTAACTGGACAACAGATGGGGGTCAGTGGGCTGCCAGGCCGGGTGGATTGTTCTCTGCCCAGACTTGGGGGAACCTGGTCTTCAGTGAGTGTAGATACTCCGAGGGCTGGGGAGTACTGCCAGGAGCTGATTTCAGCTGTAGGCAATATTCCTCCAACCATGGGCAACTTTTGCTGACACCATGGGCTCCTGGGGCTCCATGAAATTGACTCAGTTGGACAACTGTCCTTTCTTCCCTATTTTTGAACATCTTTTTTTTTTTT